TGTAGCAAAAGTTGGCCCTTGTTCGGGTGGACCACGACTGTGCTTTTGATTCTTGTTTTGTTTGTACCAAGTGTTTTTTAGCATTTTTGAGTTGTTTTCATTTCATTTTTCTATTATTGAGTTGTATTTTACATTTTGACCGATTATGAGTCATTATCTGATTCATGAATCAATTCAAGAACAAGCATTCACAGTTATAAAGGTTATAATGCAAGGGTCACACTATTCATCGCATGAAAATGCCATTCATCACATTGTGCAAAAAGATCATTCAACAAAAACTTGATTTTTATAAACTGGTGGGTCCAACCCCGTTCATTGTTTTACAAAACAAAGCAAAAAAATGAAAGAAAAGTCTTCAAAAACAAAGGGGTCGAGCTGAAGCAAGTCTTTAACTACATAGCAAAACGAAAAAACAAAAAGAAAAAACAAAATAGCAAATCGTCATCATTATCAATAGCCCATCCTCGCCCTCTTCCTCCTCGGCTGTGAAGGAGGTGCATCATTGTCATCGCTAGGGCTGCTGGACTGCAAGTCAATCTCCTTTCCTTTATCCTCGGGGGTTGTGGATCCGTCAAAAGACTCCTCGGAAGGCGAGTGCTGCCTCATTCGACCTCTCCCCGGGTTAGCTCCTCCTCGGCCTCTCATTGGGCCCCGTCTCCTTCTCCTCCCAGTTGGAGGAGGTCCTTTAGGTGCAACTAGTACAGGCTCAAGCTGAAAAAGGACAGATATCAGTGTGAATAAACAAAGTGTATAGTATGGCAACAACAGTAAATCGCAGATAGAATATACCTCAATCCCATGGTTGACTAAGGTAGTTTGCCTCCTCTGTACCATCAGGAGCAATTAGTCAATCGTACGAAGGAGGTCATCACCGAACGCCCGGAGGATCTGCAAAAGAACATAATTTAAGAAAAGACAGACAGAAGTAATAGAGAACAATGAATAGAAATGGCAGAAAAGAAGCTAAAGTGCAATATGGACTAGCATAAAGGAATGTGTACCTGTTCGACGCCAGGAGCAAATACTAGCCTACAGTCCCTCTCCTTGATGTGCTCAAGTGGGATCTGCTCGATCACTCCATCCGGACGCATGTACACGATCTCAGTGGGGATCGCAGGAAGTCCAGGAACGGGAGCAATGACAGGGGCACCTCTAGCAGGCACATCGCCAACCACATCAGTAGTAGCAGTAACCTCCGGCACAGCTCGAGCCATGCCTAGGGTAAGAGGCACCATCACCCGGGTGTGTAAGAAGGTAGTGAAGTCGCCAGGCTCATGATGATGATCGCCATCCTCGCCCAACATCAGGAGGTCGAGCTCAAGACCATCCTGTAGATCATCCACTACCCTCATACCGGAAGGAGGAGGATATGGAATGTCAGGGTCAGCAACGCCCCACGTCTGGGAGATGAACCTCTCTTCTAGATAGTAAGCTCGGCCAAAAGGGCCCTCAAATAGAATCCTCATGGTGGAGGCATGCCATGCAGTGGTATAGGTCATCCTCGACACCTGGGTAATGCCCGCCCAAGGGTGCCAGTCAATCTGAGAAAATCAGTGAAGTGTGAGAAAATTAGTGTCAGAAATCAATGCAGTATGAGAAAATTAGTGTTAGATGTCACTGCAATATGAGAAATTAGTGCAATGTCAGAAGTCAGTACAGTATGGGAATGGCAATATGGTACAGATGCAATAGCATGAGAGTGATCGTGTAGTGGGAAACAGTGTAATATGCTTATAGTAGGTAACAGCTAAAGGCTGGTATTTTGCTACCTGGTCTGCCGTGATCGTGGCAAAGAAGCGGTGGAAGTACGAAAAGGTTCGGTCTACAAGGCAGCGTCGCTCGAACTACGAATTGTAGTATCGGGAGTGGGGTACTGATAACTCAATCAGCCTCACTGGGACTGGAGCCAGGCAAGTGAAATATGTGTAGACCCAAAGCTGTAAACAGAAGACATGGGAAAAATAGATCAAATAAACAAGAAATGCAACAGTGAACGGAATATAAAGCATATCAGAAAAGTGAGGGTAGGGTATGCCTCCCAAACCCTCCAGTAGCCTCCGAGTGAATCTGCCTTGCGACGGGAGATGGAGCTCATGTAGATGTATAAGGTGGCCAAGCTGGTACCACCCCAATGTACGAAAAGATCGGCTGACCGGGCGTGAACTAAGCCTGGCCGAGCTGCGACTAGCAAACATTCGGCAGGGCACACAGCCAAGTGGCGAGACCGGGATACGGGTAGCTCGGGCTAAACTATGGACAAGTGAGGGATGGCACGTCTCTGACCAGTTAGCCGAGATGGGCAGATTCCAGATAACCTCGGATGAAGGTATAACGGACGGAGGCCAGCATGCCTCGCGACCGGTATGCCACGATAAACCGGTCAATACCAGCCCGGCCCATGAGCATCACCCCCCTGCCCCTTTGCCAAGGGGCAGTCCGGTGGGGCATAGCACGGTTGAGTGCCTATAGTGATAGTTCTTCGCGGGAGATAGGCCAGTCGTGGTACTACGGTCGGGTGTGCCACTTGGGCCAATGGCACGAGGGAGAGGACATCTGCTCCACGCATGCCTCAATACCGTGAGACAGTTCTGCGTGTACTGGTGGGAGGACTAAGCCTTTACACGCGTAAGGTGGTGAGAGGCGAGCACTGCCACCTGTCTTGGGAAGGACAGCAGAGGTAGTGCGCGCATAATCTTGAGGCCGCATGGCCAGCCTTGAAATAGGGAGGAGGACGAACGTTAGAGGTATGCAACTTCTCCCCCAAAAGAAAATATTCTCTCTCTACCTGTCTTCTCCTTCTTCAAGTGGACTGACTTGATCGTCGAAGGGTCTATCCGGCACACCACCGCCGGGCAGCTCACTGTTTCTGTGTTACCAAGTAGACGCCGTCAAGAGAAGCTTGGAGTACAAGGAGTACGGAAAGCAGAGGATATTTCGCCCCCATACAATTGGCGCCGTCTATGGGAAGTTTTTGATACTCAACCCTTGTTCTTAGAGCTTCTTCAACCATTTCCATGGCCAACAACGGCGAAGCCCCACTGTCCGTCGTCGATGGCGTCGCACCTGAGTACGTTCGCTTGAGAGAAGGTCCTCCGAATATTCCATCCATGGCGGGCCTAGAGACTTCTTCGCGAAGTGCGCGAGACAAACGCGGGAGGAGTACTGATCGCTCGCAGAGTCCTGAGGGCCGCCGACGCCGGGGGGAGTCCCATGCGCAGCACCTGGAGCACAAACTCAAGGACCAAGACGCCGTCATTCGCAAGATGGCGGTGGAGATGGAGCTGCTGAAATGCCAGATTAAAGGGAAGGGTGTTGCTGGAGAGGGCAACCTCAGTGAGCGCACCTCGTCCCCTCGTTGTAGCAGTCACCGCCAGGGGAGGACTCACTCTCTCTCCATCCACCAGGAACTATGGGGTTGGAGGTTCTGACCAAGGAGAGGGCAGGTCCCTCTCTCGCGACAGCACCTATCGCCCCACACGCCCGACGCCGACGTCGGGATCCTCTTTCTCCACACGTTCCAGGGACTTGAGGGATGTATTGGAGGAGAGGGCGCGCCGTCGGGAGGCTCGGAGAGTGCCGGCATTGCAGAGGTTAAGCGCTCCAGTTCGTTATAGTGAGGAAGTGGCGATGCCAGCTCCCAAAGTAATGGCCCCTGCGCTGGTGGACAAAGAGCTGGCGCGACTTACAGCCACGCCGCTGTCTCCAGAGATTGAGAGTACGACGGCAAGACGGATCCATACATGCATGTGAGCCATTACCGGCAAGTAATGGCTGGACACCGGCAGAATGACGCCTTGATGTGCCTCATATTCCCAGCAAGCTTGGGAGAGCTGGGTTTGAAATGGTTCGAAAGGCTCCCGAAAGGGAGTATTGAGGGGTGGCAGCAACTAGTGGAAGCCTTCGTCACCAGATTCAAAACCACCACACGAACGCCGAAGGAGGTCGACCATCTCCTGGGCGTCAAGATGGAGTCTGGATATTCGTTGAAGGCATACAATGCGAAATACTGGGAAACTTACAATGAGATCCTCGACTGCCCCACCAATCTGGCTATCACTCAATACAAACGGGGTCTCCCAATCGGACATAGGCTGCGAGATTCACTCACGATGCATCAACCCACAACCATGGAGTCATTGATGCAGCGGATCAATGAACACATTCGTGTGGAGGATGATGCCGCCTCCGCGACCGAGAAAGCTAATCCAGTCGCGGCGGACAGAAGGGTTGCGGGGAAAGTTCACTCGGTTGGGCAGGAGGATAACCGCCCAAATAACCAGTCGAAAGACCAGCGCCATGGTTCAAACCGTGATGACAGAAACAAGGGCCGCCGAAACGACCGGGCTGACCCTCCCCGTGATGCAGCGGAGGATGCCAAAAGAAAATTGAAGGCGCGGACTGGGATCACCACGGTATTTAAAATCCCCATCTACCGCATTTTGAGCGAGATTCGAGGTGAACCCTTCGTCCGTTGGCCAGCCAAGTTAGAGAGTGCGCAGAGGGGCTTCAATTCAAAATATCACTGCACCTTTCATGAAGAACGGGGGCACCGAACAGAGGACTGCTTGCCGCTCAAACAACACTTAGAGGAGTTGGTGGCGGCGGGGCATCTTGACCAATACATAGATGGGGGCATCAAGGCCACGCCAGCGGACCAACCCGAGCCAAACGGCCTGGCCGCCCTAGAAGCGCCCCCGCAAGGTGTAATCAACGTCATCCACGGTATCATTGAACCGGCCAGGGTTTGCGAGCTGAGAGGGATGATCAAGAAGGCTGAGCACATGAGGGAAGTGCTCTCTGTTCAGCCCGCTGTGAAGAAGGGAAAGACCGAAGAAAGGGAAATCCTTTCATTCTCAACCAAGGACTTGGAAAGAGTTCAGATGCCGCACAATGATGCTTTAGTAGTCACTCTTCGCGTCAAAGACTTTGACATCAAGAGAATCTTGATCGACCAGGGGAGTTCGGTAGAAATTATGTATTATGACGCGTTTAAACAAATGAAGTTGGAAGACAAGGACTTGGTCCCCGCAACGTCCCCTTTGGTCGGCTTCAACTCAGAGCCAGAATGGCCAATCGGAAAGATTATTTTGCCGTTCAAAGCGGGGTTGGTCGTAAAGCAAGTAGAGTTCTGGGTGCTTAAAGTTCCATCAACTTACAACTTGATCTTAGGTAGGGGTTGGCTGCATGCCATGCAAGCAGTTGCTTCGACCTTCCACCAAGTCATGCGCTTTCCGGCACCAAGCGGACAAATAGAGGAAGTTTGGGGGGACCAGGTGATGGCGAAACAATGCTTCGTTGTGGTAAATGGCAGCCGAGCGGCCAAAGGGTTCGTCCAAATGATCGAAGGGCCCGAGGGTAAAGAGGTCCTCGAAGACGTAGGAAGAAAGGCTGAGGAAAAGTCGGTCGAAGACTTGGTGGAAGTGTGCATTGTCGAAAACGATCCAACTAAATTCTTCCTCTTGGGATCATCCTTGTCTAGCGCCAAGCGGATGGATTATGTCAACTTCTTGGTTTCCAATTTGGAGGCCTTTGCCTGGACGCCTTACGACATGCCTAGCATCGACCCGAGCTTCATTTGTCATCAGTTGAATGTCTTCCCTAATGCACGGCCAGTCATTCAAAGGACCCGCCGCTTAGCCTTGCACCATGCTGAAGTGGTCGCAGAAGAAGTAAAGAATTTGTTGGAAGCTGGGGCCATAGAGGAGGTGCAGTACCCTCGGTGGATATCCAACACGGTGGTTGTTCCGAAGAAGAACGGCAAGTGGTGAGTCTGTGTTGACTACAAGACTGTCAACCGAGCTTGCCCCAAGGATAGCTTTCCCCTCCCACGAATTGACCAGCTGGTGGACTTAACCGCTGGCCATCAGAGGTTTAGCTTCCTGGACGCATATCGCGGCTACCACCAGATAGCCATGTATAAACCGGACAGAGAGATCACGTCGTTCACAACCCCCAGAGGCTTATATTGCTACAAAGTCATGCCGTTCGGACTAAAGAACGCCGGGGCGACCTTTCAGAGGATGGTAATGAAGATGTTCGCTCCTCTTCTGGGCCGAACAATGGAGGCCTATATCGACGACATGGTGGTAAAGAGTAAGGAGAAGTCTCAACACCTCGCCGACCTTGCAGAGATGTTCACCATACTTAAGCTCCACAAGCTTCGTTTGAACGCCACAAAGTGCGCCTTCGGAGTTGGCACCTGTGCATTCATCCCATATTAAATTGTGCAATTCGACTCCTCGGCCATCACAGATCTAAGGCCACATACAAGACCTGGAGCGGTCCTAACTCCACTAAGGACGTGCAACATCTTGCCGAGATGGCAGCCGCGTTGAACAGATTTATCAGCCGGTCTTCTGATCGTTGCAGGCCCTTCTTTAAAACTCTGAAGTCCAAGTTCTTCTGGGATGACGAGTGCGACCGTGCACTAGTAGACCTGAAAGCATATCTCTCTTCGGCCCCTATTTTTTGTCACGCCTCAGCCAGGCGAAGAGTTGTACCTCTATTTGGCTGTCTCTCAACACGCAGTCAGCGCGGTATTGGTGCGTGTTGAAGGCATCCAGCACCTACCGATCTTCTATGTAAGCAAGACTCTGCTCCCAGCCGAAACGAGATATCTTCCCTTGGAAAAATTGGCGCTGGCCCTAATGATGGCGTCAAGAAAGCTGGCACACTATTTTCATGCCCATACAATAGTTGTGTTAACCAAGTTCCAACTTAAAGTGCTTTTTGAAAAGGCAGACTTCACTGGGAGAATTTTGAAATGGGCCGTGGAATTAGGACAATATGAAATCAAGTTCCGACCGCGCACCGCAATCAAGGCTCAAGCACTTGCCGACTTTGTGGCGGAATTTGCCCCTGGGATGCATCCAGTATGCCCGATTGATTTGGTTGGTGCGGATTTAGCACAACCCATGGTTCTGGCAACAGAAACGAGTGTTGGTGGAGGATGTCCCCCCGGTTGCCTCTTGTCTTTGGGACTCGTCTTCTTCCCCGGTGATCAGGGACTTGATGGCCCTGATTTTCGCCATTTCTTGCTCGACGGTGAGTGGAATAAGCCTGATCGGTGGTAGGTTTGGATCCGGTTCTGGGGTTGGCGCACGCAGAAAATCGGTAACCCGGCTCTTGCGCGGCGTAGTGTAGTGGTAGGTCTGTTCGATGCCGAGCAATTTCGCAGCCTCCGTCTCCTCGGTAGGATGGCACAGCAGGGCTCTGATGGCCTCTTGGTTGGCCTGGTGGTAGTCTGCTGCTAGGTGCTTATCTGCAAAAAGAAGACAAGTGTTAGATCGGCACGGAAAGTAATTGATGCATAAAGAAAATAGCGCGGTCAGCCGAGCAACTCACCGGCACTGCCAAAATCCTTTCTAATATGCCATCCCGGTATGGGTGCCTCGGTGTCCTCATAGCGACCGGACACCCACAAGAAGTCGTCGTCGTTGGTCTCCTTGACCGGGTTACCCTCTATTAATTTTTCTCGGCCCTTCTTCACTTTGAGATACCAGCAAAACCCGCTCTTATTTCTACTAAGACTATACTGATGGAAAATTTCAGCCAGACCGAGATTGAGACCGAGCCTCCGGTTCAGTTCGGTGACCCCGTTTATTATTTTGTAAGTGTTATTTGAAACTTGGGTCGGGCAAAGCCTTGTCTTCCTCAAAAACTTGCAGATCAAAGGCTGGACTGGGAAGCGGAGCCCTCTCTCTACTATTGACACGACCGCAAAGGGGCCCCGGTCTAGATCTCCCCAAGGGGTGTCTCCCTTTTTGGCGAGCTCTAAGATGACGTCATCTGGGATGTTGTAATCCCTGCAAAAATTGGCCATCGCACTGGGCGAGCTAACCATATAGCGGTACTTCCCTATCTATCTCGGTTTTATTTGATATAGTGTATATCTCGGTCAAAAACGTTGGTGGGTCTGCTCGGACTTTGAGCTCCATCAATTAGTGCTGGACTGGCTTGGTCGGTCTTATTTGTTCTGCATGTTAAAAAATAATTCCAAGGGTTAGCACGGCATAAATTGCGCGGCCACTATGGGAATTGGCTCAGTGAATGGATTATTGGTGTTTGGCCGGTTCGACCCCTACCTCGGCTATGCTACTTGGTTGATTTCCTAGTTTGGTTCTAACTCTCCACTTCTGGCTCGGGTAAGGTCCAGAAAGGAGATTTAGAGAAGTTACAGCTCGGTCAAGGTTTGAAGTGGAGATCTCAAGTTTTAGCTCGGCGAGTTCCTACATACCGATCTAACTAAGTGTCTAGCTCGGTTGAGACCTCAGCAATAAACCACAAACCATTTTTGATCGATTGAAGGCATAATTACGGATCTAAATGAGCATTTACCTCGGTCGTGCACAGTGTTCATCCTGTTCATCTTGTTCATCCTAAGTTCAAGGTTCGTTTGTTCAAACCAAGGAGAAACGGGGACACGATGGCCCTATATACCCATCCAGTTACAGTTTGCCCTATGATGTGCCAAGACCCCCCATCAAGGAGATATTGGAGGTTTCTAAGCAAAGAGAATAAAGAACGAAAACACAAAAAATTGAAGGGCCTATAGGAAAAAGTAGTAAAGGGGTAAAAAACTCACCAAGAATAGATGCGAAGTGAAGCAGTCCCCGCAAGCTTGAATGCAGCTTCAGAAGTAACAGAAACGGTGAGTGAAATGAGAGGCAGCAGCGACGGTGGTGAAGGAAATGGAGTTTATGAGGTTAGGGTTTAGGCTCAAAGGAGAGGTGAACAGTAAGAGTCGAATTGACCCTTCGCCTGTGCATAAAAAGGAGGGGAAAACCCAAACGGCTGCGCCGTTTGAATTCTGTGCATGCGGAGCAGCTGGCTGCACGACCTAATGGCGTGAAGCCACGTGGCACTGAGAACGCGTCTGTCAGTACGGTGATACGACGCTTGACAAGACTGTAGTGGAAATGACCGACCAAATGATATAGCTCGACGACAAATATCGCCCCAACCATGCTCGGCCAGGAAAGGATGCAATTCACTAACCGTTGGCTCGGTCACAGAGATAATCCCAATCACGATGACTCGGATGGGATTAAGGGGCAATTGAGAGGGGAGATTTGCGCCATTAGTACGGCCAAGCTAAGATAGGGCGGGTCGTGACAAACCTCACGGCGCCATGCTATTTCCTCTATCGAGAGGGCCGGTGGGTCTATTTTGCTCGGTCGAAAAGATTGGCTGATCGGGCGTGAACTAAGCCTGGCCGAGCTGCGACTAGCAAACATTCGGCAGGGCACATAGCCAAGTGGCGAGACCGAGATACGGGTAGCTCGGGCTAAACTATGGACAAGTGAGGGATGGCACGTCTCTGACCGGTTAGCCGAGATGGGCAGATTCCAGATAACCTCGGATGAAGGTAGAACGGATGGAGGCCGGCATGCCTCGCGACCGGTATGCCATGATAAACCGGTCAATACCAGCCTGGTCCATGAGCATCACCCCCTGCCCCTTTGCCAAGGGGCAGTCCGGTGGGGCATAGCACGGTTGAGTGCCTATAGTGATAGTTCTTCGCGGGAGATAGGCCGGTCGTGGTACTACGCTCAGGTGTGCCACCTGGGCCAATGGCATGAGGGAGAGGACATCTGCTCCACGTATGCCTCAATACCGTTAGACAGTTCTGCGTGTACTGGTGGGAGGACTAAGCCTTTACACGCGTAAGGTGGTGAGAGGCGAGCACTGCCACCTGTCTTGGGAAGGACAGCAGAGGTAGTGAACGCATAATCTTGAGGCTGCATGGCCAGCCTTGAAATAGGGAGGAGGACGAACGTTAGAGGTATGCAACTTCTCCCCCAAAAGAAAATACTCTCTCTCTTTCTGTTTTCTCCTTCCTCAAGTGGACTGACTTGATCATCGGAGGGTCTATCCGGCACACCACCGCCGGGCAGCTCACCGTTTCTGTGTTACCAAGTAGACGCCGTCAAGAGAAGCTTGGAGTACAAGGAGTACGGAAAGCAGAGGATATTTCGCCCCCGTACAATATACTTTATTGGTTTTCATGTCATGGTTGCCTTTTAGCCCTTGGGTCTATGGCTAGGGAAGACAATAGATGTATTGGTGCATAGATGCATATGGTGTATTGAGATGTGGGGCTGAGTTTATGACTTGCGTGGGGGGTTGTATTTTCAGAACAAATGTTTAAGTGAGATTCCTTTATGTTAACATGGAAAGTTTTATCAAAGAAAGAATGGGGTTTTGAAATGTTTTCTTTTGGAAGTAATAATGAGAATGTAAAAGAGAATAAATGATTTCATATTGTGTTGTGTCTAGAGGAGCTTCTGGGAAAAATATATTTTTATGAGTATACTTTTGGATATTAACTATCACACAACTTATATGGTATATCGTGGTGCATGCATGATAAGTTTTATCTATATGTTGTGATTGGTTAGGATTTTTGGGATCTTTATTGGGCTTAGTGCTCATATCACGTGTTGACAAATTTTTCTCGTACAAGGTTGGAAGATTTTTCGGGACCTGATGTCTTTTACTTTGTTGGCCACGGGGCCTTTTATTTGTTGGCCACAGAGTCTTTTATTTGTTGGTTGAGAGCCTTGTATTGTATAAGGGTAAATCCCTTTTGTTTTTATTTATTGTTATTCAATGTAAGCCTAAGGGCATTGTACCATGTCTTATTTATATATCATTATAATTGTCGTGAGAGAATGTTACTATTTATTTTGTTCATGTTCTTGTATGGATGAAATCTTTTAAAATGGTAATAATATAAGGATTTGGTAATGAATTCGAGTAATAAAAG